TGGTGACCTCGATCCACTCGGACACCAACTTCCCATCTCAACCGCACCTTTTGAATTTTCCCTCCTTTTTGCCATTTTTCAAGATCGTGGGTTCGAATCCCGTTCGTGCCATTGACTTTTTTATCTCAACTATAAACCTTATTGTTAAAGTTGAATTTGGGAGTTGTAACATCAGTCGGCTTAATCAAAATATCTAGTCCTAGGAATACAGGGTCAGGACATTATTCCATGCACCAACACGTTTTAACATTACCTTATATGAAGTTGTAGTAGTTCTACCTGACAATTTGGCTATCTTCATTTTTTAGATTTCATGGAAAATACATAAAATAATTGATTAGTTCTTACAATTGTTATCGAGGTGGCATGACGTGGAACACATTTTTTGCTTAGTCACCAACCAGAACTTAATTCCTTAATAAAAGCAATTTTCGACTTGATGACTTGATAATTATATTTAGCTACTCCAATCGATAGCTCTATTAGATGATATTGCTCGCTTTCTTCTCATTAAGAAGACCAAAGGATTAGGAAATTGTATTCAAGACTAAATTTAAATACGAATTTCTTTTATGCTTATGTTGCTGTTGCGATGTTTCATATCCTTGATTTTTAATATACAATACATAAAACACAGAATTCCTTCAGGGAATTTTTAATACAGAAAAATTGAAACCGATTATGACGCATTGTGGGGCATCGTTGTTACTGGAGAAAGGAAATAGGACTGTGCCTTGCGTACAATTAAGACTTGGAAGAATCGACAGTTGTTTTAAGCCTAATTACTCAACTTTAAACTCTTCCAATGATCAATTTTGACACAGACATTCCTCGTTCGGTTCCTAGATGTGTTTTTATCCTAGATTATAATCGTCTCCCAATGGCGCAAACTCTTTTAAGCCGGTTATTTATGAGGCAATGGCCAGTTGGTAAATTCCGACCTATGTAATTGTGACATTATTATTGTTTTGAGGATACAATTGATCATCGACGTGGTGAGATAAACGACCGAGTTGGGCAATCCGTTTATAGACAATACCAGAGACGCGCCTCATCCTGAGCTGGATGTGCACCTTGAGCCATCGGAAAACGGATGTACCAAATCTAAGTTTCCTTGGAGTTTATAGTTATTTTAAAAAGTTAAAATTGTTTAAAGGAATTATGGAATAAATATTTTTTATATTGTTTGTATTATTTTTAACATTTAATGTAATTTGTTGTGTCCTTAGCGACCGGATCGACTTTTCAGAAAAACATAGTAGCCCAATACCACGCTCCAAATTTCAGTCAGAATGACAGTACAATTTACGTAATTCTCATTTTGAAAATGGTTTCTTGAGTAAACATAAACATTGCGAGAAAAAGATGCAACGGTTTTTGTGTTTTTCAAAATCCACAATATCCTGAACTGACACTTAAAATCTGGATATTTCCACCTTAAAAAAAATAAATAGATTTTTTTTAAAAATCTGTTGAAAAGTAGAGAAATGCGCAAAAATAAGCCTTAGAATGATTTTAGACAATTTTCCATCACTCCATATTTTGTTTCCAGACGGTTTGCCCATACATTACGTCCAAATAGTAGTATTTTCTTCAGTAAGGACGTCATTAGTTTTGTTTCATTCTATTGGAGAAGTGAAGATTTTACTGTGCCTTACAAGTACGCCTGAATAGATTAAAACAGCATCACAGATTGTTTTCCGCAGTTTTTATGTTTTTATTCTTTTATTCTGTTACATACGCCTTTTACAAACAGAAGACATCAAAAATATGGTCGTGCTTTATGAATTCATATTAATCATGTGCATGGTTAGTGGTTCTTATGTAACTGAAACTGCTTCTTTGGTTTTCCTAATCAAACAGCAGAATTCTACGCCTGGATGGATCTGCACAGTAGTGTGCTCCGTGGTCTCTTCTTTTTCTTGGCAAAATCTGCCCAATGTTTTTTTCTGTTTGTCAACTTATTCTGTATATATGCCTATTTAAGTGACAATGTCCAGTCATAAGACATATAAAAATTCTGGTTTTTCTCTATGAACCTCGTGTACTCTGGTTCCTGGCTAGAAGCTGTTGTGTATAGGAGACTGCCTGCGAATTTTACTCTGCTCTTTTACTCTCTCATGGTTTTTTTTCTCTATGAATCTCATGGTTCATAGTGATTCAAGATTCTGGCTAGTGGCTGTTATGTGTAAAAGACTGCCTGCGAATTTTACTCTGCCGCAAAAAAACAGCAGAAACATACGGCTGGATAGAACATCACAGTAGCACGCAATGTGATGCGCAGCCGCTTCCTCTTCTGGGCAAAATCTGCACAATCTTTCTTCTATACCTAAACCTATTCTGCATGTAAGCCTTTTTAGGTGACAATGTACAGTCAGAAGTCTCATCAAAATTCTGTTTTTTCTCTATGAACCTCTTGTAATCTGGTTCCTGGCTAGTGGCTGTTATGTGTAGGAGACGGCCCTCGAAGTTACTCATCAAGCAGCATAAACATACGGTTGGATAGACCATCACAGTAGCACGGAATATGATGCGCGGTCGCTTCTTCTTCTGAGCAAAATCTGCCCAGTGTTTTTTCTGTTTGTAAACTTATTCTGTATGCATGCCTTTTTAGGTGACAATGTACAGTCAGAAGTCTCATCAAAATTTTGGTTTTTCTCTATGAACCTCTTGCAATCTGGTTCCTGGCTAGTGGCTGTTATGTGTAGGAGACGGCCTGCGAATGTTACTCATCAAGCAGTATAAACATACGGTTGGATAGACCATCACAGTAGCACAGAATGTGATGCGCGGTCGCTTCCTCTTCTGGGCAAAATCTGCACCATCTTTCTTCTATCTGTAAACCTATATGCCTTTTCAGGTGACAATGTCCAGTCACAAAACTCACCAAAATTCTGTTTTTTCTCTGTGAACCTCGTGTAATCTGGTTCCTGGCTAGAAGTTGTTATGTGTAGGAAACTGCCTGCGAATTTTACTCTGCCGCAAAAAAACAGCAGAAACATACGGCTGGATAGACCATCACAGCAGCAAGGAGGGTGATGCGCGGTCGCGCGGTCGCTTCCTCTTCTGGGAAAAATCTGCACAATCTTTCTTCTATCTGTAAACCTATTCTGCATATATGCCTTTTTAGGTGACAATGTACAGTCAGAAGTCTCATCAAAAATTTGTTGTTTCTCTATGAATCTCATGGTTCTCCTGGTTACATGTGTAGGAGACTGCCTGCAAATTTTACTCATCTACCAGCAGAAACATACGGCTGAATAGACCATCATAGTAGCACGGAATGTGATTCGCGGTCGATTTCTCTTCTGGGCAAAATCTTCACCATCTTTCTTATATCTGTAAACCTATATGCTTTTTCAGGTGACAATGTTCAGTCACAAGACTCATCAAAATTCTGTTTTTTCTCTATGAACCTCATGTAATCTGGTTTCTGGCTAGAAGCTGTTATGTGTAGGAAGCTGCCTGCGAATTTTAATCATCAAGCAGCAGAAACATACGGCTGAATAGACCGTCACAGTAGCACGGAATGTAATGCTCGGTCGCTTCCTTTTCTGTGCAAAATCTGCACAATATTTCTTATGTCGGTTATCTTTTCCGGTAAATATGCTTTCTTAAGCGAGAGTGTTTAATCAGGAGGCTTAACAGAATCCGAGTTTGCTCGTATTTCATTTACCGTATAGTAATTTTTATTTTACATTTAACTTATAGGGTACAAATAAAATAATAATAATTAAAAAAAGAATTGCAATTAATTTTACACGTGGCCGTTCTGGAAGCTCTTTGTGTGCTTCAGCCTTCCTTTTCTGTCGGTTTTGGTTCATAAGGCACCTTTATGTGATAAATTGCTAAGCCACGGTATGGTTAAGGGCCGGAAGTGTTCATTCTGGCTCCACTCTTGGTCAGTATGTCTGTTTGCTATTTGTTGTTTGTTTCGTGGCTTTCCAAAATCCAGGCTAGGGTAAGGACTCTATTGCCTCCAATATAAGATTCCATGCAACTCCACTCACACTTTGACCTCAGCTAACATGAGATTAAAGTTTTGTGTGCTAGCTGATTTCCAGAGAGTATGGCCATCTTCTTAAAGTTGATTTCAAGCATTTTTATTTCTCTAGCGTACTGTTCAATAATAATTTGCGACTGTTCAGTCTTCGGATTACAACGATCCTGGCTTTAATGCCCTTTCTGGATTTTGAACCGTCAGTGTACCAGAAAGAATTGGATTAAAAGTTGGTTCACATAACATCAGACGGTATATCTAATATGAGCCTTTAACTCCACCCTCAGCTCTAGCGAACAGCTGACCAAGTATGAGAACTACTTTCAAGTTCCAACTAAAACTTGTCCACGTGGCTCCAGTGGCACTTAGACACGTTAACTTTTCGAGGCTCTAGGCCCCGAACAAGTTTTTTGATAAAGTAATGAATTGGGGAAATAAATGCTAGACTTTACTAAAAGTAGAAGCAACCAAAATCTCTAACCGTTTAGGTGCAAAACCTAGGAGTTGCAACAACAGTAGACATACTGTATGACATCAGACTGTAATTTCTCTCTTAGCTTTAGCCGTCCATTGACATAGTCCATCTTTTTAGGAGCTTATGAGCAGTTGCTTGATTATTTATAGCAGGTTGTGAAATATATCCAAATGTGAAGTTAGCGATGTCCTTATGGCTTAAGTAGCACTAGCAATTTGATTTAAACAAAATGCAAATAGATCAGGGGAAAAACTTGTAAGTTATGTTAAGTTTTATTCGATTTTCCCTATTTGAACAAGAAACAATATATGATAAATTTGATTGGAATGATTTTAATATAATTTACAAAAATGACGTAATTATTTTGTCTTATAATTTTTAAATGAATATTTTATGAAGTGCAGCGACGACGAATGATCTTTATTTCCTAATCACCACACAAAGACCAATTTTATCACACCTGCATTTCTTTTTATACCTTGACTACCTTACGGTGAAAATATTGAATTGAATTTCTCTTTCCAGGGCTGTTAAAGGACGTTCAACTGCTGAAGGAGAAAAACCCTCGGTTGAAAGTCCTCGCGGTGGAGGACTCGTCGAAAGCCGAACTTTCCAAAGGGCTCGACGGTATCTACATCAACTTGGAGAAGCCCCCTTTGAAGGAAAAGCTTGTCGAAGATTTCAAGGTAAAGTTGGAACTGTTATTGAACATTTTTTTTACTTGGCCCGACCTTGTTTCCAAATTACTTAATTATATGTTCCTGGATTGAATTGGAGTCATCCAATGGCGAATAAAGTTTCGATGCTATTTTCTCTCGACCTTTGACAATCTGACTTTTTTTTTTAATAAATGGTGCATAAATTATGATTATCAGATGCGTTTAGAGTTAGTCAAAGCACGACGACACACTTATTTTTTCTGTCAGTAATCCTTCGATATCATAATGTCAAATGGTTTTGTTTATTGCATAAATTATAAGCAATATAAATTGAAAATGTTTCCTGAGGTACTTGGAAAAACATGCTGCTTATCTGATGTTTAAATATTAATATTTTCTTAGGAAAATTCTCGTACAAAATTATGTGGTTATGAAATACTTTATGATTATCGATTTGATAAATGTTATACTAGTTTTACTAGTAGTTACTAGTTTTCGTGGTGCGCTTGACCAATTAATATTTTTCAATTAAATAAGGTTTTTAGTTCAGATAAAAAAGTCAGTGTCACGAGCGGGATTCGAACCCACAACCTTCGGCTAGATACGCCGCTGCTCTACCACTTGTGCTATTGTAACCTCGATCCACTCGGGCACTAACTTCCCATCTCAACCCCACCTTTTGAATTTTCCCTCCTTTTTGCCATATTTCAAATTAATTGAAAGATATTAATTGATCAAGCGGATCACGAAAACTAGTGAAGGTAATACTGTGTTTACGTTAAAACATTCCACTTTCACTCTTGACAAATTGTAGAAGTACATACTGTCATTATGACAATTAAATATTTTTTGTCGACGTCTTTTTTTTCCTAACCTTGTGTACAAAAATGTACAAATGTTCCCTAATGATCGATAAATGCGATGGATAACAATCTATCTGATATCCATTTCCCTTCGCAATAATTTGATTTAATACAAAGATGCTGTCTACAGTTGAAAACCCAGCTTTGAACCTCGTCTGGTCCACTGGTTGATGTTTTTCTAGTTGTTCTTTGTTTTTGTTAAATATTAATTTGCTTATTACTTTACTTGCCATCTCACATCGCACTTTCTACCGCTTGAGTCACGATATCTCAAGTGGTTGAGTAGCGGTGTATCTAGCCGAAGGTCGTGGGTTCGAATCCCGCTAGTGACACTGACTTTTTTATCTCACTAAAAACCTTAATTAATTGAAACTTATAATTTATGTTGTATTCAATTGTAGAAAATCTTCCAATTTCCTAACCTCAGCCATATTTCCACAGTGGTTTTTCTGATGTCGAAACACATCATAGCTTTCAAAAAACAATTTTTAAGGCCAACCTCAGAATTAATTTTACCGTAGTATCGGCGAAGTACTGCTGAATCATAGGCAAAGAATAGGTGAATTTGATCTCGTTGCCTGGTACGATGAACTCCTGAGTAAAAGCACAAATGTTAAGATATGTCTTAAATAGCTTTCTAAAGGAAGCTGGAGAATTTTTGTATGTCAAAACCAGTTTTAACATAATTTGCCGATTATCTTAAAAAGAAATGTAAAACTTTTCATGTTGCTTAATTTTTAAATACAATGTTGATCATGTAAATATGCAAAAACAATAAATAAGTCAGCCTTGGTGTTAAACACTATATTTTGTGGGTAGTCATATGACCTCGTAGGACGATGTTAATGACTTTTGGGTTTTGTTTCTTACCCAGAGGTTGTTTGTAGGATGTGAATTGCACATTTTTTAATTCAAAGAAAGAAGGAATAATATTGGGATGGTTATCTGTTTGCATTGATATACTTTACCTAGTTCTTGCTTAAGGGATACAGCAGTAATCTTTACCTCTGTCTTGCTTTATTTTATAAAAACCAGGCCTTAATACTTAGCGTTCTTACTTAAGAATGGAAGCTCTTAAAAATAAATCATCGTATAAGGAAGGGCGTATAAGGCTTCTAATACTCACATTCCGTCTTGAATTTCAAGCACGTCGAAACCACCGCGAGACGTGTTCTGCGTCAGTATGGGCTTGCTCCCAGGCGACCTTGCTCGCGTGATTCTTACGCAAAACGGTTGCTGAACGAAGTGCAATTGTAACGATCCAAATGTTGAGTGGAGAGAAGAAAAAAAACGGTATTTGTTTGCCGTGAAGACAATTTGAAAAGATTGTTGATAGAAAGGGCCCCGCCCGGTTTTACGTAATATGTCATCCGTCGGATCTCTTCGGACGTATGGGTCAGCGGATCGGTAAATTGTACATCGGGCCGGGTCGAACGTACTGTTTCACTTTCTTTTTCTTAGATAACACACTTCAAACAATGGAACATTATGAAAATTCCTGATGGAAATTATTGGAAACTTACGTAAAAACATAAAACTTGTTGGACATGTGAGAACGTACTGTGGGGTTGGTTGATTACTGGTGAATGCACCTAATTTCTACCATTACGTTGTATCGTCAAAACTTGTGGGTTTTTTTATTACATTTATTTGGTATTTACAACTATAAGCGATGTATTAAGTAAATATGTTCGTATATGTTGAATTATCATTTGAGGCTCTTGTAGATGTTGCCCAGTGGTAACACTCCTTCACACTGATATCTTGTTCAGTCTTCACACAATGAGAAGGTCTCGAGACCACTTTCGCTTCGTCTTGGAGGATTTTCAGGTAGGGTTGGAAGTGATAAATTTCGTACGAATAGATTACTGGGTGTGTTCAGTGATTGATGAAATTTTTTATATCGGGTTTTGATGAGTTCATGTGCAAACGGGATATGTAGGTCTTTATCGATAGTGTAATTTGAAACGTAAAAAGGAGCGTTTATAATTTGACGGAGAATTTTAGATTGGATTGATTGGAGACGCTGGGAATTGGAATCCTTGGTTGAACCCCACACTTCACAACCGTACGCCCAGAGAGGTCTAATTGTCTTGCAAATTAAAAGTTTATTTTCAAGGTCTAATTTTGATCGTGGGTCGAGTAGTCTTTTTAAAAATTTATAACGTCGGTTTGTTTGCAGTCTTTTCAGTCTTGTATGGGGATTCCAAGTCAGTCGTTTATCCATAAAAAGTCCAAGATAACGCACAAAGTCAGTGGTAGGCAATGAAATTCCATTTATAGTCACCGCAGGACGGACATTTTTAAATCAGGTAAAATTGATCTATGTGCTTTTTGTTAGGTTTACCTTTATTCTCCACTTTGTGACCATATTTTTAATTCATTCAGGTGTTGTAAGTGTTGAGTGTTAATTGAAGGGTCCGAATTGCGTGTTAATCGCTGTATCATCAGCGAATGTGTGTGTCGAAAAGTTAACGTGTGTAGGAATATCTGCAGTGTATATGGAAAATAGAAAAGGGCCAAGTATGCTTCTCTGAGGAACACCCACCCTTATGCGTATATGGTGAGAATTCAGTTCCCTGACGGACTCGACAAAATTGATCCGTCAGATAAGATCTCAGTATAAGATAGTACGTATGAGGGAGGATGTTCTTCAGTTTCCAAAGCAAGCCAGAGTGCCAGACTCGATCGAAGGCATGTTCTAAAACAAGAAAAACACCCAATCAATGCTGTTTTTGTTCGAGGAAAGAGGTTATAGACAGCAACACGATGTAATTGTTGAGTTGTCGAGTGAAATGTGCGGAACCCAAACTGATGATCTGGAATAATATTAGAATTTTCAATTATTGGCAGTAATCTTCGGAGAAGTAGTTTTTCTTGTATTTTGGCAAGGATAGAAAGGAGACTAATGGGTCGATAGGAATTTGGAAGACCAGAAGGTTTATTTGGCTTATGAATCATTAATTATAGAGAACTTCCATTGCAATGGAAAATATGTGGTCCTGAGTACAGCGTTGTATAGGTATGTTAAGAATAGTAAGCCTCTGTGGGGCAAATTTTTTATATTTGTTTTGTAATTAGATCATAACCTGGAGGTTTTCGTGAAGGTAGTTGTTTAATAGTGTGTCGTATGTCTGATGGAGTAAATGCTTTAGGAGGATAAGAGAGTTGCAAGGGGGCATTCAAGTCATGTTCAATGTTAAGCTGATGGTCATGATCAAGTATGTCATGGTGTGCAGTAAAAATTGTGGAAAGATGCTCTGAAAACAATTTAGCAATTTCGGAATTGGATTTTGCCCAAGCGTTGTTACTACGTGTAGGAGGCGTGTGGTCCTTATATCGCAGGATCTTAAAGGTTACCACAAAGACTTGTCTGTTTTGAAAAGCGAAGTAGTACATTGTTTGTACATTTCTGCCCTAAGTTTGGCCAGTTCTTGTTTCAGCTTTCTCGCGAGTTGGTTCATCCGTCGATGATCACTCGGATATCTGTTACTTTTACTTGTGGTTAAAAATCAAATAGTGTAAAATTGATTAATTAGAAAACATAATAATATAATCCATTTATTTTTAGTGGTCAATTGACCAAGTTCTTTCAATTAATTATTCTTTCTATGTAAGGTCTTGGTTGAGAGAAAAAAGTCAGTGCCACGAGCGGGATTCGAACCCACGACCTTCCTCAATACGTACAAGCAGAAGGTCGTGAGTTCGAAACCCGCTCGTGACACTGACTGTTTATCTCAACCAAGGCCTTACATAGAAAGAATAATAATGTAAATTGATTTAAAAAAATATATATAGAAAAATAATAGGAATATCTTAATTTATTTAAGGCTTACTATATATGTACTATGGAATAAAAATGTGCAATGCTTAATAATCCAACAACGAATATCTATACAATCGAGAAAATTTCGGTTGATTTATTATGAGAGATGTATTCAACATAGTTTTTTCCGACTCGTCCGTCTGAAGGTTGAAAAATTAAAAAAAAAAACCCTCGCTTTTCAAAAACGATTTTGACCTTACCTCTAGTCCAAACTTTACGACCATTATTACAGTCATGCCAGGAACCACATTTTATGGAGACAAACGTCTTCGGGTAGTCTATAATGGCCATGTAGGCGGATTTTTATTAGTATTCTTTTTTTATCTTTGTGGTTTAAT